CAAGCTCTCCTGTAAATAGTCAAAATCTGACGTTTCATGCCTTTTTTTTTTCCTAAGCAAATCTTAAGAATTTGGTTTCTCTTTACCTGCCTCTCCCCAGCCATCACGGGGCTCCCCAGCATAGGCAGGAGGCTGGCTCCAGCCCTGCACACTACCTTTCACTTCAGGTGGTTTCAGAGATACAGGCATTGCCATCTCTCTGAGTGGAAACAAAACCTCTTGCTTCACCATCKATGGTTGCGTACGTGGATTTATTGGTACACCAAGGTAAGCCAAAAATTGACAAACAGCTGCACCTAAGAGAGACTGATCTGTGCACAAACTCATGCTCATATGTGCACAGATAAGTGAGCAGCAGGACGCCTGAGAATCAAGGCTTATGAGGAGGTTGTCCAAATAGAGGTAAAGGAGAGAGTTAAGCATCATCAAAGGCTGGAATGTCCCCTAGCATAGGATTTAATTCAGCCACCAGCACTACAAGGCACTGAGCCTTCCTTCAGAACTAGACCTGGATTTAGATCTTGGGGAAAACCTGGTATTTACATTTTCCTGAAGATTTTGCTACTCGGACATCTCTTTGTTTCGATTCAGGATGAAAATATGCTTTTAAGATTTGCATATTTAAAACACTCATATTAGTTCTATATTATTTAATAATTGTATATTTAATAGTGCATAAACTGCTTGTTACAAGGCATAATTGTTAAATGAGTCATTTATGTAATCAGTAAGAATATCTTCCACATAATGTTGATTAAAATATCAACATTGTTAATGCTTTGTATTCTGATTATTTGCTTTTTTATTGCTTTGCTTTCAGAGTATCTCCAGTTTATAGTGTCATAGAAGTCCCAAAAGGAGAAACTGGTTCAAGTGCCAAACTCCTTCATTACTGCAAACAAGAGCACCCTCAGAAAGATAACTTGTTTCAACTGGAAAAAAAGACATGAAGAATAAAGTAAAGATTTCCAGTGTTATATTGAATGCTATTACTTGACAAGATTACTGACCCTTTATAGGTCAAAATGAAGTTTCAGACCTCAGAAATGAAATTCTGAAACACTCCAAAAGGAAACACCTTGGAAGATGTTCACTTCAGAAATTTTTGCCATTGTGAACCTTCACTGCATTTGAAACTATAAAATTGTTTTTATTCATCTTATCATCTTGTTTCATTTTTCATTAGAAACTGTAACTAAAATATTCAACCATCTTCCTTTTTTTTTTTTTTTTTTAAATGCATATTTGAACTAGGATTTCCTGAGCTTATTCTTCTAAGAGGTACTCCGTTTTCATGGAGTCCTGCAGGGACATAGCTGGGCTTTTCCCAGCCAGGGAGCAGTAAGAAAGCAGCAGAACCAAATTCCTCTGAAAGCAGTGGAAATCTTACAGACAGGCCTTGTTCCCCCTGCCCAAATGGTGAATTAAGGACTGTGGCAACCGAGGACATCAAGGGCTCTGACAGTATCTCTAGCTTCTTTTCTATCGCATATTTCAAGAATTGCAAAAACATACACTAGAGACCACGAAAACTGGAGGAAGGAAGTGGGTTTTTTTTTTGTTGCCTTTATTTTTCATCATAAATTCTATAGAAATTCAGACTGCTTAAAAGCTGTAGRTATTATGGCAATCTTTATAAATGTGGAGTGAGTTCCATACAGTTAAAATAGGAGCACCTAAAAAAGTATTCGGTACCTAAAAAAATTTCTCACTTTCTTAAAAGGAATATGAAAAGGTCTCTTTTCATTTTTCTGGAGAAATCAAACTATTGTATCCAAGACTTCCAAAAACTGGATGAAAAATAAACAGTTAACAACTTAGGCACTTACACAACGAGGGAGCTCCAGACATCTGGAACTCAAGTGTGGACAATTCTAATACACCTGCAGTGATTTGACAAAAGTATATCGAAGATTTAAAGGCTTTCTGARGATTTCCATAGCAGAGAGGTGGCAAGAAACAACCATGATATATACAAATTGCTCTATCAGAACACTCAGCCCCTGCAAATTCTGTAAAGCATCTTTGAATATTAGTATAGAACCATATCCACATTATTGTTAGATATCAATACAGAATTTGAAGAAAGCTTTACATACATAAATCATATCCACCTTCTTAAAAAAATAAAYGAAACAACACAAAAAAAAGTAAAGCAATCTACGGACTATCTATTTCTTATACTCTAAGAAACTATTACTCTAGTCCTGGGCTGATATTCAATTTTATAGGAACGTGATATTGATGTTCAAAATTCATAGTAAATATATATATACAGGGTTCAAATTCACAGAGTAAATATATCAAGCAAAGCAATCTACCTTTTCTAGTATATAATAATAGTATCGTGTCACATACTGTTAGGATGTGGATATGAACRAAATTGTATGGTCACTGATTATTCATATACCATGACACTACACAGTAGATATGAGTTGGTCTTGCTTTGCTGAAAGGAAACATCTGGAAGCACATGCCAGATCCATTCTGCATATTGTAGACTTACTTCCCATACTCATCTTGCACACAGTTTGATTGCTAATTTATACAAAGGATCTTTCCTCCTTAAAGATCACCTTAAAACACTGTGCAGAGTAGTCCTGAAAACCAGTCAGTCTTGGATTTTGCGGTCTATGCCTAAGATCAGGTTGAAATGATGTGCAGCCATCTCTTAGAAAGCTCCAAAGTAATCCATCATTTCYTTTGTGAAATTATGAGTATTTTAAAATATATATCACATTTTCAATTACATGCAATTGTAAATTGGGTACATAAATTATTTGTGCAAAGTGCTGAGGGAACTGGCCGAGGTTATTGCTCAGCCTCTCTCCATCATCTTTGAGAGGTCCTGGAGAGCAGGGGAGGTGCCCGAGGACTGGAAGAGAGCCAACGTCACTCCAGTCTTCAAAAAGGGCAAGAGGGAGGAGCCGGGCAATTACAGGCCGGTCAGCCTCACCTCTGTCCCTGGAAAGGTGATGGAG